TAGCCCTGAAGAAAGGTGGTTATTCCCCTTATTTTAGCTCTTCAGGTAACTTTGTTCTTCCTCCTCCTCCTCCTTCCCCAGATCCAAAGAAAGAGAAATTGCCCACAGCTGAAGGGGGATGATGCTGGTAGAGAGTCTACCAGAGGCTGATGGTCTCTAATCCCTTGCTGCCAAATTCAGAGAATGGATGGTACTTCCATATTTCCCACGAGGCCTCCGTATGATGAACTATCAGGGAGCTGGGGCATGAGGGGTGGCAGGAGATTCACCTGCAGTCCTTTGTGCTTTCCCATTTTAGTTGACCTGAACGCAGAGACTTCAGTCCCTTCCCCAGAGGAGCCATCCCACTCTGGTTAACCTCTGAGGCAGCAGGTTAGTGCTCGTGGGTAGTAGTTTCCTTGTGCTCATCATTGCCTTGGCTTCTCCAGTATTTCCTGGACAATCCTCTTCTGCACACGCCCTCCAGATCCACAGACCTGCTTATCCAGTCTCCTGCTTACCTCAGTGCTTGACTGAGGTACATACATTTTGTTCTCTCGATCCTCCTTGGGGACGCTGGCTGGCTTTCAGAGCTTGGGTATTGGTTGGGTGAAGATTGCAGCACTGTCTGCTGAGAGGCAAACCGACACCTCTCAGCTAAAAGGGAAACCAGTCCTGTCCAAACTACCTGGGAATTTCTGTTACTGGCAGGTGGAGAACTGAGCATCTCCATCAGGAGGTGGTGGAAGCCTCTTCTCAGTCATGTCCTGAGCCCTGGCCTCTGCAAATCTGGGGCTCAGCTTCTTGAAATCCACCCTAGAGCCCTCTAAGGCAGGAGGTGTTTTCCCCATGGCTTCACAAAAAGGGGAAACTGAGGCAGAAACATGGCTTAATCACAACTGCTGGAAGTAATTGCAACCAGGGCCCAAATGAGGTCAGAGAACACGGTTTAAATCAGGTCACCACTCGATATTTATTGTGTGGAGTTTTTCTTTTTTCTTTACTCCCGCACTGAAATCCTTCCCCAGAGGCTATTCAAGGAAATAAATAGCCAGTGGAAAGGGACAATAGCTTGCTGTGGAGTACAAATTATATGAAGCAGTAGGAAATAATAGCAGAGGGAGCAGCTGCTACTCCGAGAAGGAATGCATGGTCGCTCTCTCCAGCTCCTTTTGCCTTGAGCGTACGCCGATGCTGCTCCACAGCACAGGCTCCCTGGGGCCTTCGGTGCAAAATGGGACAGGCATCTTTTTTTACAGTGTCCTCCGGTGCTGCTAATTAGTGCCAAGCTGAAACCACAGCCTTTCGTTAGGGTGCTAAGGGGATCTCCTGCCTCTTCTCGCAGGGCTTGGTTTGACACGTCCCCACAGCCGGCATGACCACTTCACATTCTCCTCTCTCCTTCTTCCCTTCTGGGCTGAGCATCACATCTAGTGAAGACACATGTCACTCCTGCAAAGAACTACTCATAGCAGGTGTCATCTGGAGAGGACGCATTGGCTGCCCTGTCCTCTCTGCTTTTTGAAGCCCTTCCTCAGAACCATTGGGAGGGATGGTGGGGACCATTTTGGTGTGCTGGTGTGCCACAAAAGGCCCTAAGAAACCTCTCCTAGCTAGAGTGGTTGGGCTACCTTGGCTGAGAAGTAGGGAAGCCTGTGGTTTTCCTCAGGGCTTCACACCTAGCTGGCTTATCTCCTGCCCAAGCAAGGAAACAAAATAAATAGCGCTGCCAGCAGTAGTGCTGCCCAGGATCTTGGCAGCCTGCTGGGGAGGGTGGCGGTCAATCTCTCCTCAACAGCTGTGTGGGTGCCCTGTGGTAGAGGTGGCAGCTCTAGGCTATGGTTCATAAGGTGCTGCTGTCTGGAGCCACCCTGAGTGTCCTGAGCTCCCATGGGTGCTCCTGATGGTCTGAGATCACCCCAGGATAGAGGAAAGGTCAGGAAGGACTGCTAACCACAAAACCTACCTCATGAGACCTCTGCAAATGAAGCTGCTGTGTTTCCTGTGCTGAAAGCACTCTGCAGAGGACATGCCTTGCCACCCTTCTGTCTGAAAGCCCACATGGTTGCAGTGTTCTCTTCCCTCCTTAAAATATGTTATTTTTTTTTGTAAAATTGCAGGTCTAGCTGCTCTCTGTTGGAAGTTTGACTTGTCCCCAGGTCAGGCAAGGTCCCCAGCTGGTTGTTGAGTCTCTGCTGTCCCAAGACACCCTGTGGGAACTTAGCAAAGCCTTCTCTGGTGCCAGTGCTGTGACCATGGGCGTCCCACACCAGTACAGGCCAGCTGCCCTCTGCCCAGGATGAACATCTCTATGGGGCCTTGGAGAGGCACTCCCAGGCAAGTACCCTACTGTGGGATCGTCTCTCTGAGGGTGAAGGGTTCCCAGGTCACTTGCACTGGTGACCGCCAGCTTCCACAACCATTACTTATATTTTCCTCTCTGCACAGACCCTCCACCTCCTTTCCAGATGACCTTTAGCCAGATTTCCTCTTTCTTTGGGATTTACATTCCCATCAAGTCACTGTTTCCTTGGGCTTTCTGATTTGCAGTGTCTGTGAGGTAGTATCAACCTGCCCTCTTCACCCTCCATCATCCCAATCACCACCTCCAACTGCGCTGGAGGATTTCAGCTCTTCTGGGGTCTGTAAAGTCTCAGACCCTTCCTAGGTGGGGAGCACATCCCCCTGCATGAGAGAGGCCATCTGCGTGGGGCTGGTGTCTGACCATGCGAAGACTCAGCTCCACAGACGAAGGAAGTCACCAGCGCTGGCATAATTGCTGCCTGGTTTCCCTGTATTGTTCCCAGTGGCAAATAAAAGGGGGGTGAACGCCCCTGCTGAGCAGTGTAGGAGGGGGATTAATGTTATCTAGATAAAATCTCACGGCCCCTCTCTGAGCAGCTCATGCCTCTTTCCTGCCCATCTTCCCTCCCTGCATGTTCTCACATCCGTGGTACTTGCGACTCCGCACATAACCCTCTGTGTGTGTAGTTTTTCCTGCCCCTCAAGCAGATGCTGCTCTCCTGCCTGGGCAGCCTCACGCTCTGCCAATGGGTTCGTGGATAAATCCTGGTGAGAGGAAGGTTTCTGTCTGCTCTGTGCTGGGCTATGTGGGAAGTGGGGTGAAGCCTCCTCCACATTGCTGGCCCAGGACCTGGGTCTTGTCTTTGCTGTGACGTCTCTGTGTTGCTTTGGCCAACCACATAGGACAGGATTTTTCTGACTGAGTTTAGGCTCTGTCTTGGGCTGTGATCTCTTGAGCCCTAAAACTGTTTGTTTCTCCCTGCTGGCTTAACGTGATTTCAGGTCACAGGTCCTGATGGTGGCTATGCAAGCAGTGGCTTTGGCCTGCCCATGTCCCTGCAAAGGAACCATGTGGGTTGCTGAGAAGAGACTCATCCACCCACTCTCATAGCCAGTGTGATGCTCGGATATTTTGGGAGGGGGCTGTGGGCTCTCCCTGAGATGCCTGCGGGGGGGATGAAGAAGTGTGGTGGGAAACAGACCCAATGACAGAAACCACCATTCCCAGCACCTCCTGCTGCTGGCTTCACGCTCAACCTGGGGAGGTTTCACCAACAGCTTGAGTGACCTCAAATTTCCCAAACCTGCTGGGCTTTATGACCCCTGGCTCATAGGAAACACCTCTGGGGAAGGAGTGCTTATCAGCACTTACCTCTGCTCGCTTCAGGAGGTTCTGGGGAAGGGCAAGAGCCATCTGCCAGCTGGCTGTGCAGCAGCAGGATGACTGCATTCAGCTGCTCCTTTGGGAGCGGGGTTGAGGGACTGCTGGTGTCCTGAGCCTTGGCCTCCTCCTCCCTCTCACTTATGCTCTGACTTCTGGAGCCTGGCAGAACACCACCAATTTGTTCAACCAAATCTGGGACACTGTCTACTGACTCCTAGCTTTTAACTGGAAGGAAGACAGCAGGGGTGAAGGTGAAGACAGCAGGGGTGAAGGTGAAGACAGCAGGTCCTCCTCTGTGAGGACAACATTCCCATGTCTCTGGGTTAGGGAGGATGGGGCTATTGAACCTGATGTGCATGGCTCCTCAAGCTGAAAGGTTTGGGTCTTGATGGAGCTTGGATGGGAGATTGCAGAGAGCGCTCATGGGTCGCTAGTGCAATCCATGCAGCTGGGGCTGAATCTGGAGCCACGAGAAGGGATGGAGCTGGGAATGCTTCTTTTGGCTGAGCTGTTACATGCAGGAAAGAAGTGAACACGGTGGTCACACCTCCATGACCAGCTGGGAAGATGTTTATCCTGTGCAGTGGCTGGAGTAGCACCACTAAGGGCTGTGTGTGGTGGTCCCTCCACAGGGAGCCCATCAAGGAGGCTGGGAATTGGTTAAATCTCCTGAAGTCCATAATGAGAGAAAGTGTACATAGGGAAGCTATTTCTGTGGATCAAAGTCTCATGGCTGAATAGCAGCTGATGGGGCCTTGTGGAGGTGGAGGTGCTGTTAATGTGTAAGCCACAAGGAAGTCTAGGGATGGGAGGTCCTCTGTGTGAGGCATTTCTGAGCTAAGCTGCTGGTGGCTCCCTGCCTGGTTACCCTGTCCTCTGAGGAAGATGTCTGTAAGATCTGCTGCTCCTGTCCTCTGTCACCCAGGGTCCCCAGCTTAGCAAAGCTGAGCGAGGGACCGTCAAGCCACAGCTACCTCTGCTCCCACCTCTTGTGCTTCTTGGGCTGCGGGCAATGCTGCCTACCAAACCCTGGGTTGTGCCCCTCTGCTTTAACCCTCTTTGTGCCTCTGCTCTCGTGCTCTCCTTTCCTTCTGCTGAGGACAAACCCGTTTTCATCTCTCCTCTCTCTCTCTGATGTATTTTCCTGCTTGCTGGCTTCACTCAGCCCACTCTTCCCATACAAGACCTCCAGCATGGAGGAGGAGAGGAATTTAGGAGAGGAATACCAGCTGTAGATGTTCTCCTGTCTGGGGCACCTTCTCCAAGCAGCATCATCTCTCTTCCAATGAAGAGGCTGAAGGAGCCCCACAGGCAATTTTTCTCTCTGCCTTAGGAAAAATTTGAAATCTTCAACCTGGATATGAAGACTGGGAACAGCCTGAAGATCAAGGGCAAGATATCTGATGATACTGATGGGTGAGTACAAAGAAACCTCCTCAACTTGCCAGGACTGAAGCTGGGCTGCAGAGGTGGTTTTCCAAGGTTGCCAGGGATAAAAAGTATGACCACAGCTCAGTTAACGCTGAGAAGGGGAACTCCTACACCACCTCCATGCAAACCCTTCTGGCTCCTGAGCAGAATGAGAAAACAGGAGGCATTAAGCACCTGCACTGCTGATGGAGGAATTAGGTGCAGAACCATGTGTTGGATCCCAGATCTTTCAAGAGCCTGTTTTATCTGTGTGCCTGACCTTCACCCACAGCTTCAGCATCAACCTCGGCTCCAGCTCCTCAGATCTGGCATTTCACTTCAATCCCCGCTTCAATGAGCCTGTCATCGTCTGCAACTCCAGGTGCTCCAGTGCCTGGCAGGCAGAGCAGCGTGAGAACCACCTCTGTTTCTCCAAGGGCTCCACTACCAAGGTGAGGGGTCTGTGCCAGCATCGGTTTGGGAGGGTGATGGAGGAGGAAGCCCCTGGTTAGCAGATTCCTGTACCCTTGTCCTCCCAGTCCCATCCAGTGCCTCCTACTCCCTCCCAGCAGCCCCTCATCCTCATCCTCTGGGTTTTTAGTCCCAATTGCCATTTGCACTCCTCCTTCAAAACCCCAGCACTTCCACTGGGAACTCTATATGAGCCCTGTCTCTCTCAGGCTTTGTAAGTGCTTCCTGCCCCCTACCCCTGCCCAGTGGGTGAGTGTACCAGGGTACATATGAAGGTAAAGGGGGTCTCCAAGAAGCAGAATCTTGCTGCTCTCTACCTTATTTCTCTCCCTGATTGCCCCCTAAGCAAACATGGGCTTTAGGGCAACCAAGGGTTTGGAGCAACATCCAAAAACCTCTTCCTCAGCTCTTCTGTCTCACTGCTCCTGAATCCACGCTGACAGGCTGTCCTCCCTCTCCTCCAGCCAGGCATGCTGCCTTAGTTGCTGTCTCACCCCATCTGATGTCCCGAGACATTAACAGGGCTGCATTTACGAGTCCTGCTGTGGAGAGGAAGCTTGTTTCCTCAGTCATCTCTTGGGGAAGGGATGGTGAGGTGATGGCTTTGGGAAATGATCCCTTTAATTTGCAGTGGTCAGTGATGTGTTCTTGTCCTGTCTGCTTGTGAGTGTTTATCAGTGAAGCTCCTTTTCCAGGTCCTGGTGAGCTGCTGAGGGCATTGGTGTGTCAGGTTTATTCTGCCCTGTTCAGAGGAGATCTAAGGCATGTGGCATATAAAGACCCACTTGGGTTTACCTGCTCTGAGTTTACAACCTGAGTAGCTGAAAGAGCCCCAGGAGAGATCCTGTCCCCGTGTCATAGTCTAGATACCAGCTCACACTCTTTATATCAACTGCCCATTTCCTGCACCACCCTCAACCCCCAGCACCTTGCTAAAGGCTGTCAGGACCAAGTCTAACCCCTACGTGTAACAGTCAGGCCTTTCATCTGGTTACTCACCTCCTGATCTCCTCCTTGTCCCCAATCCCTGCCCTTTCTCCCCTCTCTTCTCCCAGATCATCATTGAAATGCTGGCAGACAAATTCCAAGTGAAGCTGCCGGATGGCCATGAAGTGAAGTTCCCCAACCGGCACTCCTACAGCAAAATCAGCTACTTGAGCGTCAAGGGAGGCTTCAGGGTCACCTCCTTCAAACTGGACTGATGGGTGCTGCTTCCAAGCTCTAATAAATACCCAAGCAGTGAAAGACTGCTTGTTCCAGCTGTTCTTACTTCTGTCAGGTTTCTGGCTCCGTGGCTCTATGTGAGACACCGGCAAAGCCCAAGGTTTTTCCACCAACATGAAAGGAGCTCTTGTTGGATGGAAATCCTTCCCAGATAACGCCAGGTGCTTTTCCAGGTCAGACCAGGATGTGGGGTTGAATGGATAGTAGGTAGGCAAAGCAGGCTGTAGGTGGGGTTCAGGAGGAGGACACTATGTGATTGCTTGGGGAGTGGTTGTGCAAACTCTGCACAATGCACCAGTTCTTCTTTTGGGAAGGAAGGAGGAAAGAAGGGGAAGAAAAGCATTGACCTGAGTGATATGGCATTCCATGTGGCATTTGGTGCCACATTGGCACATAATTAAATGTCAGGTTCGTGAACCTGAGGGCATGGGTTTGACGGGTTTCTCTTGGCTGCTCTCGCAGCCAGTGGGCAGGAGGAAGTGGTGCTTTTCCCTCCTGCAGGAGCGGTACCACCCGAAGTGGTGGCACGGGGAAGGCGAAGGCGAAGGCAGCGCAGGTGTGCCCCTGAGCCAAATAAGGAGTTGTCTCCTCCGGCTTTCCCCCTTATCTCACCTCACCTATCTGCTGGCACATTCCAGCTAGGTTACCCATTACTCTGACATTTCCACACTGAAGGCAGGGGAAGGCAGTAGGGAGGGAGGACGACAGGGTTTGGGCTGAGTTTTGTGGCTCAGCACCTCCCAGTCTGTGTCCCTTGTACACAAGACTACAGGCAATTAGTGCTGACTATCAGATGCTGCTGCTCTAATTAAAGAAGTGTCTTGGCAGCCTTAAGTGAGACCGATGTCTCTGGGTGGGACGAGAGCAAAGTAGAAGGACATCTTATGGAGAACCTGGTCCAAGCCATGGTGGCAGTGCCTCTGCCCTTCCTCTCTGCTTCCTTGCTGCCCAGCCATTGGGACTTGCTGCTGCCTGAGGCAGAGGATGTCTGGTGGGCTGGGAGGACTGCAGCCAGGCCAGTTTTAGGAAGGGAATCCATCTGCTTCAGGCTGCAAATGAGTTGTTGCCAGGCTGGAGAGGAAGCTTTGCAGCCTCCTGCGTGCTGCATGGGGGCCAGGTGGATAAGAGGTTGCTTTGTGCATTAGCCACAGTGAGAGGCAAAGTACCAGGCTCCTTAATCCAGGGATTCCAGAGTGCTGGAAAATCCGGCTGAGAGGGGAAAGGATGGGATTTTGTGGCCGGGACACTGGCAGACATAGCAAGGAATCTGATAAGGTTGCTGCTGCTGAGGGGAGGCACCAGAGGGGAAGTTAGTATCAAAACTGCTTTAATAAGGACAATAATAAGTGCATAGGATACAGAGTGGAGGCAGAAAGGATATTCCACAGATGTGGGTCTTTGGTCTGGAGCATGTGTTACGGTCTGGGAAGCGGCGAACAGGGTCCCCATCCTGGAGGGAACAGAGGTGGTGATGGCTGATCCTGCTGGGTGCCAGTGGCCAAAGCTGGGGTCTCCTTGAAGCTGCTGCCTGCCCCAGTTTGCTGCTGCTGGATGGCACCAGGCAGCCGCCCAGGGAGGTTGAGGGTGATGGGCTTGCCCGTAACCTCAATGGCCTGACTGTGGGTCGCACTCCCACGTACAACACGCATGCATGCCGGACCCTCTTTATTCTGCTCTGAAGAGCTCCCTGCCAGAAGCAGCTGGGCGGTGGGTGAGCTGCGTGGGAGTGGAGCCTTGCATCTCCCCCCACTGCACACCCCCTCCTGTCCCAGAGAACAAGGGGGGTCCTGTGAGGGTCCCTGCGGTGACCTCAGCCCCCGAGCATCTCGTCTCCACGCGGCAGCACAAAGGCACTTCTGTGAGGGCCAGTTTGCATGCGGGGCAGCGTGGGGAGCAGCTCGTTCCAGGGCAGCCACGTCGCCAGGGCTGTTTGGCGAGGGGCATCAGCCATCCTTCTTGTGTATCCCTGGGGAGGGGTGAGCTGGAAAGAGGGGTGTGTTTGTGGGGAATGGGGAGAGGGGACAAGGATGGAGAAGAGGCAGTGCAGACAGTGGCTGCAGAGTGGGAGTCTTGTTTTGAGGTGGGAGGAAGATAAGGGATTTTTGGGGCCCAAACTGCAGGATTTGGTGACCTGACAATCTCGCCTCTGCCTCCAGCCAGGCAAGAAGTTTCTCCCCTTCCTGCTTTGAGAGGGCAGGGGGTTGGAAAAGGAGCCATCCTAAGTGATGTTCAGCAGCAGAAGGCAAGTGGAAAGACCCCTGCGTTTATCTGTGTGCATGCTCTCACCTCCTGAATGCTGTGCTCACAGCCTTTTTTTGGGGAGGGGAAAAGAGAAAGCCCAGCTTCCAGTAGATAGATGTGCTATGCAGGAGGGTCTTGCACCAGCTGGAGCTGGGGAGAACACCATCCCCTATGTGCTAGAGTTATCGGTGGGAATATCTCCAGGAGAGCACTCACACCAGCACAGAGGGCGGCTGGGGGCTTTGATGGGATGACAGAGCACGTCTCTGGTCATGCTGGCAGGGCCAGGCTCAGGGATGGGAGAGAGGGTGCCAGGGGCAACAGGATGGGGTAGGAAAGCGTTTGGGGTTTCTTTAGCACTTGGGAATAATGTCCCTTTGGCAATGAGGCCAGGGAAGGGCCGTGATGCCCGGCGCTGCGATGCACAGCCCACACTACCCCCTCGCAGCAGCCTGGCCTAGCCCTGGGGAGCCCCCCAAGAGATAAGCTCTCCTCCTGACCCCCAGTGTCCCCAGATTGGCAAGGAGGTCACCTGCTGGGTCCACCAGCAATGCTGGCACCTGAATTTGGGGGACAGGGAGAAGGGTGAAGACCCCGGCATTGATGCCTCTGGCTGGGGGCCATGATGGGAGGTATGGCCATTCACACCTTGACTTCATCATCCTCCTCCTCCTCATCAGCATACTCGAAGGAGTTACTGCGCCTGCCCCGGGCACCAGCATACCCCTCCTGCAGGCTGGAGAGCTCGGCCGCCTCCTCCTCCTCCTCCTCCTCTTCTCCCTGGTTCCAGGTGGCCTCAGGGGACTGGCTGTCCCGTGTCACTTGAGACCGCCATGAGCTGCTGCTGGGGCTCTCCCACAGGGACTGCGTCCGGGCCTGATGGGGACCCTCGCCTTTCTCCGAGCTCCGTGGGGTGCTGGTCCCACCGTAATGGCAGGCCAGGACCTGGGCTGCCCGGTCAAACTCTCCTGCCTCGATGGTGCAGTCGTTCCAGTGCCCCTGCCACGGGGTCCCTCTGGGCGCTGCCCCCAGCCCTGAAGCCCAGGCAGGGTCCTCTCCAGTGCCCTCGATGGCGTGTGCCTCTCCATTGGCACGGACCGACAGTCCTGGTAGCGAGCTGGCCCCTGACAGGCTTCTGTGCCCGGAGCTATCCCAGAAGCTGGACGTCACCTTGTCCTCTCCATGGGATGCTCCTGATGCTGGAGGGACCCCATCCTTGGTCCCCTCACCACGCGGGAGGTCTGGGTCATCCTCCCCCACCTCGTTCCCATTGCTTTCAGAGAAGCTCATCACCTGGAGGAGCTCACTCATCAGGGAGGGCCCCAGGTCCAGGCGGAAGGAGAGCAGAGAGTCCGAGTGGTTCAGCTCTGCGTCCCCAAGGAAGGTGCTCTCTTGGGCTTTTTCCAAGCGGGGAACACGAGGGATGGTGCAAAACCCAGACTCCAGCCCTGCAAGACAGAAGGGATGGCTGGTGAGCGGGGCACGGCTAGGTGGGAGGAAGACTGCTTTACATCTGTGGGGGACAAGTGACACTGCCACCCAAATGGGGCAGCTCAAGCTCCCATCAGTGGCACTGTCCTCTACAGGCCAGGCCAGTGCCTGAGTGGACATCTCCAAAGCCCAATTACAGCAAAGGGTCTCCGGGTGGGCTATGGGCTTGGTAAGATGCTGGTGAGGGCTGAGCCAGGCAGGCAGGACCAGGAGATGGCAGCATTGCCTCAGCTTGCCTTTCCCTCTGAGCCCAGCCACCTTCCTTGGCTGCTGCAGATCCCCCCCAGTACCCCCTGAAATGACTGCCTTAGACCTCCTACCCTGGGGAGAAGCAGAGCCACAGCCCAGTGCTGTGAGGCCGGAGAGGAGCCACCCAGTTGTCCCATCCTGTCCTTCCCCAAAGGTCCCTCCTAGTCCCCTGCTGGCAGAGAGGAATGTGAGTGCAATGGGGAAGGTGCGGCCCAAGATCCATGAGGAGCACATGGAGATGAAAGGGTTGGCCCGAATAGAGACAGGGTTGGGGCATGTGCATGGAGGTGGGGAAGGCCGTGCTGTGGGCCCCCTTGACCTTGCTACCTTGGTGTGGGCATTGCCCCACTGTCCCTGCACTTTCTTGGCTGCCTCAGGGAGGCTGCTCATGGGGAAGGTGTAGAGCTGAGGGGAGATGGGGGACACCCCTTTACCACTACATAGGGCTATGGGGGAGAGAGAGAAGGAGAAACCATCTCTGCCCCACTTTGGGGAGTACCCTAAGAGAAGACCCTCCAAGCAAGGTTGAAAGCAGATTAGTGTTATCTCCTCACGGGGACTCTTAAATGTTCTGTCTCTGCTGAGGGCCTCAAGTCCCTCAGTGGAGAAACTGAGCCACAGAGCAATGAAGAGGGGCTGCAGAGGATGTGCTGTGCGTGGGTGCCAGCCCCTGCCTCACGCTTCACTCACCGTAGGCCTGGTGTGTTTTGGAGAAGCTGTTGGAGGCACTTTTGAAGGAGAACTTGCTGGTCAAGCCCCGGCCGCTGCTGCCATCATACATCCCTTCGTTGAGTTGCGGCAGGGAGACGGCATTCTTGATGATGGGTGAGACTGGTGGGGGGGCAGGCGATGCTCCCGCTTGGCCTCTGCTGCCCCGGCTCCTCAGCGGCGTCCGGCGGACGTGCCGCAGTGTCCGGGCGAAGAAGTTGTTGGCTTTGGCCGTGTCGACCCCACCGTGGTTGCTGAGGAAGGAGGTGTCCCCAAAGACGTCCCCGCCGCGCCCCACATGCATGGTGTGCCGAAAGTCCCCCAGTGGTGGGCTGATCATGTCCGGCGTCAGCTCCGACTTCAGCCGCCGCTTGCCATGGGAGCCCGACACCCAGCTGAGCACCGGCAGCTTCCCCAGGCTCATGTTGCACTCCTCACCTCACCTCTGCCCTGGCAAAAGCCCCCAAGACCAGCCCTCGATGGGCTTCCAGCACTGGGGTGGCCTGTCACATCCCTGGCCTCCCCATTGCTCCTGCTCTGATGGCCTCAGGGGAACGGCTCTCGTCTTGGCTTTCAGTGGGTGGGAAGGATGCCTGTCTCACTGGTCCCCTGTGTTATGTCGCGCTCATGAAATCACCGGCAGTGGGTGCCGTTCCTGGTGGTAAGGATGGCGATGGCGTGGAGGTGTCCCTGAAGGTCTGGTGTCACCCTCAGTGCTGCGATGGCCACTGGAAGCTGTGTCTGGCTGCGGGCTTAGGACTTAATCCACCGTCTTCTGCTGCCGGCAGGTGAGCAGGAGTCCGTCATGAGTGGGGCAGGAGATGGCAGGAGCTTCGGGTAGCAGGGCAAGCACCTTGGTCCACTTGCAGGCCACCTAAAGAAGACAAGAGAAACGGTGAAGCCCTCAGAGAGGATTTTTCGCAGCCACGCTGGCTGTATCACTGGAACCGTCTGGGGAGATTAAAGCCAGTGCATGAGCAATGATGGGGATGTTGTTACTCACTGTCCCCCTTGCCTGGCCCTCCTTTTGGAGAGGGAGAAAAAGGTTTTACCCCACACAGCAATGCTCTCCCTCACCCCCTGCCCTCCCTTAGCGTGCCTCTGTTTCCGCTGCCTGCAAAGCTGTTTTGCTGGACTTACGATGAAGATTCCCCTCCCAGGCAGCACCTCCTCCCGGAGCTGTGTCCTGTCCGGCTGTCCGGGCTCCTGGGGCGAGAAACCTCTCCCTTCTTTTTTGCTATTCAGATGAACCCTTCAGGAGAGGGTGAGGCCTGGGGACTGTGTGCTTCTTGGGGAGGAGGGGCAGTGGGGAGGAAAAATGCAATATTTATATATTGGTTTTGTTTGTCCTTCCCTGGCTGAGTCCCCAGGCGCTCAGCAGACACGTCAGAGCAGCAGGGAGCTGGGGGTGCGAAGAGGGCAGCTGCTTTGCAGGCAGGGGAAACTGAGGCAGGCCAAGGGAGGTGATGGCTCCAGGTGGGAGGTGAAGGTGGGACAAGTCCTTGTGCCCAGGCAGGTCTCAGAGCTGCTGGGTGACAGGTGGGGAGGCAGCGGCTGGGTGCGTGACAGCAGGGCAATGACCAGAGGGCTATATGGCCTCTCTGTGGGAGCGGGTTAGCACGGACAATGCTTAGAGTAGCAGGGTCGGGGAAAGGAGAGGATTCGGGGTGCGGGGCACCTCAAAGCATCAGTAGTCCAGATGGCCACCTGGGGACGTGTCCCTCCCTGGGCTCAGTCCCTGCTCAGGGGCTGAGGGAACAGGATGGAGCTGAGTCCCCTCAACATCCTGTGTCTCCATCTGTCTCCCCACTGCTGTTTGCCTCCACTGCCTGTCCCCAGGTCACCTTAGAGCAGACAGGAGGTGCCAGGGAGGCAAAGCCTCTGCCAGGGGTGAGTCCTGGGCATGGAGCTGCTCTCTTGGCTGGCTACACGTGGTTTTGCCTTGCCCTGGCCTTGTTTGCTCACCCAGGGCCCCTCTTATCTGCCAGGGGTTAATGCCTGGGGAAGGGAAAACAAACCTCCCCCTGCGGCTCACAGCACCATTGGCTGCCTCCCGGGGTGGCAGTGTCCAGTGGTGGCAGTGGGGACAGCGGCAGGTTGGCTTCTTGCCGGCCCCCAGCTCCCTGGTTCATGCTGCCCGCGTCTGCCTCCTGCTCATGGAGGCTGTACAGTGCTGCCTCGCAGCTGGGACGGGCCAGGCACGTGGAAGATTTGGAGTGGGAGGACAACCAGCCCACCCATAGCCACTGGGCCAAGGCTCTTCTGGGGCACAAGGAAAGCCACCAGGATGGTCCCTGCAGCACAATGGGAGGCTTGGGACCACAGGGAGAGAGGTGCAACCTCATTTTTGAGCTGTCCCTGGGTCCCCCAGGGAGGTGCATGACCCTGGGAGAGGGTATTAGGCAAATTACAGCCCTCAAGTTTTCCTTTCCCTCCACACATCGGAGCTGCTGGGAAACCCAAAATGGAGACTGTACCCTTCAGCAGTGGTGCCCATATGATGTGGGGTACATGCTGCAATGGCCAGGGCTAATCTCAGGGGTGGACCCCCCTGCAGCCCCCTCTCAGATTCCCCGCACAGCAAAGATGACCTGCAGGCCCCCGTGGGGCTGGCATCACCCTGGGGATGGGGTGGGGAGGTGAGGGCAAGGGAGATGCCGGAGGAGAGCATCCCCCTGCTCCCTGCATGGAGAACTACTGAGCTGGGAGCTAGCAGGAGGAAAGCATTTCCCCTCCTGCCTTGCCCCTCCAGGACTTTGGGGGCTCAAGCCAGCACCTCCTGGCCCCCGGCTCTCTCTGCCTGCTGGAGTTAGGAGGGAGGGAGGGAGGCAGCTGGTGCCCAACCCTACCTGGATGGCAGGTTTCTGGCAGGCCTGCTGGGCTTTTCCTCCTTACAATATCCCCCTTTTTCCTCCTTCCCTCTCATCCTGGTGCACCCCTGTGCCAGCTGTGCCCCTTTGAGCCCTCTTCTCTGCCCAAGCAGACTCCTCCAAGCCGGGAAAACTCGTGATTTTGCTGGCAAAGGATGACCTGTGCGCTCTCCTTTCCTCCACTGGGCAAGGGGACACCGTGTCTGGCTATTGATCTGTCTGGATGCCACTTCCATCCGCCAGCCCACCACATCCGCCAGCCCCTGGCACAGTGAGCCCACGAATTGTCCCAACCTCCCCTTCCCCATCTTCCTCTCTCCAGTGCCTTCCTCGCCTCCTCCGGGAAGCCCCCTGCCCTCACAGTCCTGCTGCTGGCACCTCCTCCTCCTCCTCCTCCCAGCCTAGCCTCCACCGTTTCCCCCCTGAGTTCAGCTGGTTTCCACTGGTTTTCCACTCGCCAGGAATGGCCAGAGCTGTTCTGCTTGCTGGGAAAAGAGCGGAAACCAGAAAGGGGGGAAAAACAATCCAGATGTCTAGTTGGCTGGAGCTGCTGAAAGCAGCCTCTTCCCTCCTCCTCCTCTCCTTACACACCCCCCCCCAAAGGGGACATACTCCAAAAGAGGGCGAGGAGATGTTTGGGGTGGTCTCAACATGGGGAAGAGTGGCTGGAAATGCCTGTGGGCGGCCGGGAAGGCTTTCCCAGCCTTCCCGAGTGCTGAAAAACTTCACTTTCCCTGGAGGAAGGGAGGCAAAGGCTCCCTCATTGGGTCACTGTTCTGGGATGGGGAAAGCTGGCAGGGATGGGCTTTTCGGGAAAGGGGAAAGGGTCTCGGCTGGCTGGGCTGGGCCTCTTCCAGCTCCCCTGGAGCAGTGGTGGCCAGTAGGCGGAAAAGCCCGAGTCCAACTCCTGCACTGCTGGCTGCTATATATATATTAATATATATATAGTTATATCTGTGTAACAAGGGTATTTTTCCAAGCAGACATGCTGGGACGTGGAGGGAGGCCAGGGCTCCAAAGGCGGGCCATTTCCAGCCATCGTCTCCCTGCCCCCTTACCCAAAACCATTCCCTTTCTTCTTTCAAACCCCTAAAATCGAGGCACCGAGAGCCTGAGGGGCTTCAAGGGGGATCCAGAGCAGGGTGCGGGAGGGGGCTGCCCTGCT